ATGCCCTACACATACCATCGCGGGCATGTATGAATTGTATGAGCAGTTGTTACCTACGAAGCTCTACACAAAGGAGAAGACGCAAACCTCCACCGACGGCGAAGTTCTATGCAGGTTATGTGGGAAGGTAGCTGAGAGCGTTGCACATGTACTGGCTGGATGTTCCTCCCTGGCACAAACCAAGTACCTATACAGGCATAATGCAGCTTTGAAGATTCTGTTTTTTGAGCTCCTGCGAGAGCATGGGTTAATGGAAGAGGTTCCACCATGGTACTCACCGGTGATGCCAAAACCAGCCTACCAGAACACCACGAGTGAGGCGTTTTGGGATATTCCCATCTATGCAGAGCACAACGAAGTTAGAGCAAATCGGATCGACGCGCGACTTGTCAACCACGAGAGGAAAGAAGTCTGCACAATTGAAATGAGCTGCCCATGGATTGAGAGTAGAGCTAAGAAAGATGAGGAAAAGACACTCAAGTATGGGCCCATGATGTGGGAGCTGAAGCAGAGATACAATGGTTACAGGGTTGAACAGTACAACGTAATAATTGACGTACTGTGGGGTTACTCCAAACACCTAGAGAAGTCGGTGAGGAAGCTACTTGGAGCGAGAGTACGGAGCGTACTTGAGCGGATGCAGAAGTCGGTCATCTCAAACACTTTAAACATTGCCAGAACATTTAAGATAAATACTTAGTTAGAGCGCTATGGACTTCAGTTTTTAGGTTTTTGTTTTTTCTCTAGAAATCTAGAAACACAAGCTTGCTGACGTTTTTACTTAGATTTTTTAGAACATTAGAGTGTGATATTATTATAAATATGTTTTTAGTAGAGATAGCGAAGGTTTTACAGAGTATCAGAATTTAATAATATTCTAAATTGGCTTTTTAAGTAGAGAGATTTATATCACTATGTATAAGCTTTTAGTAGAGATAGCGAAGGTTTTACAGAGTATGAGAATTTAATAATATTCTAAATTGGCTTTTTAAGTAGAGAGATTCATATCACTATGTATTTTAGGATTGTATTAGGTTTCGTATCGACCTTTTTTTACTTCTAAGTATAGCTTCTCAAGTGGTGGCTATGCGCCCTATACTAATAATGTGGACAGCATTCCAAAGTTTCATACTGCGACATAATAATACTTATATAGCGCCGATATCAATATTGCTATTTAAATAAAAATAAAATAATAAATAATAATAATAATAATAATAAGTGCATAAAGTATACATGCAAAAAGTGCATGAACCTACCAAAAAGCCCTTGGGGTTAAGTTTCCACTTCATTTTCGGCACCTGACTAAACGCAAGCGCTGACTTGTGCGCCTATGCTTCGTTTGCACTGAAGTAGCAGTATATGACCACGACAGACTTGCTGCTATCCTTGGTTTGAAACCGCAATGGGCAAGAACAATTTCTTGAAAAGAGCAAACTATTTCCTCCTTAGCAGACATGGAGTAAAACTACTAGGACTTAAGCAATGCCATTACTTAAGTCCCACTAGACTTGAAAAGAGAAAGCGTGATGCTTTCTCTTTTTAATGATTTACGGCTAAACAGTACAATTTCATGTAGCTTTTACGCAAAATTAAATACCTAGTTGTTTGCAGAATTGCATTTAACAACAAATTACAGAAATTTAACTAAGTTTAGATGTTATAGATAAGAATTGAACGGAAAAAACTTTTTGGGTAAAAAAGTCAACAAATGATGTTTGCTGGAAAATCACTTAATGGGCCGGGCATACAATAGCAGAGATATCATTAAAACAATTATGTACTTAAATCGTAAAAAACTGCATAAAACCTACTAAAAACGAGATTAAAAAGCACATAAAATCACAAAAAAGCTTTCTGAAATAAAAATGTCTTGAGTGTCTTTTTAAAAGATGCTACTGAGCGGCTACTCCTAATTGAATAGGGCAATGAATTACATAGTTGAGGAGCAGCAGCAGCAAAAGATCGATCTCCTAACGTTGTTAAAGTCTTGAATTTCACAGGGTTTAGTAGCAGTCCATCACAATCGGAGCGTAACTTGTATTTACATGCTTCTTTAAGACTAATAAGTTCCTGGAGTGAAAAAGGCGCTAAGCCATTGATAGCCTTCTACGTTAACAATAATATCTTAAAGTCAATTCGGAATTTAACCGGCAGCCAGTGCAGATTATACAGCAACGGTCTTACATGGCAGTATTTAGATTCCAGGAAAATTAACCTAGCGGCAGCATTTTGGACCCTCTGTAGCTTATTAAGCTGGTAAGCTGGCAGGCCATAGAGCAAGCTGTTACAATAGTCGACACGACTTGAGACAAATGCGTGAATGGGCGTCTCAGTGGACCGCCTAGAAAGATATTTCCTAATTCTTCTTAGCGGAGCTCCTTGCGCGCGCAAAGCGCGCGCGAGCGGAGCACCATAGATAAGATAATTTGGTAAACTATCCATCCGAGAAATTTTGGTTATGACGTCAGCGTACGTCCGTCCGTACAGACTTTCCGGGTAGTGGAAAGTAGTCCGCATGGACTCTTGGGGTAGGGGAAAGTAGAAATTTTTTGGCGGGAAATCGCATGGCGCAACGTCGCAAAATTATATCGCGCAACTGGTTTTGGAAAAAGAAATTTCAAGGAAAATTAGCAAAAAGAATTTTCCACAGAGCCTTAATAACTTTTTATTACAACTTACGAAAGCTATTATGTCAACAAACAACAGCAGAGAGATTTTAGCGTACGCGTGTAGACGACAGGTTTTAAGCTGAGAGCAAAGAGAAGGTGAACGGCAGAGAGCAAGAGTCAACACGCGTAGAGCAAGCGAAGTCGATCGCCAAAGAGAGCGCGTTAGAAGTAGAAGAAGAAGACAAAATTTTAGCGAAGAAAGTCGGCAAGTAGAAATGGTCAGGGCGAGAAGAAGGAGAGAAAAGTATAGTGAAAAAAGCCGGCAAGCAGAACGAGACAGAGCGAGAATGAATAGACAAAGGCAACGCCAAAGAGAAATACAAAGGCAAAGAGAACGGCAGAGTTTTTGGTAATTATTTTCGACCGCGCTAAAAACCGCTCGTCGACGTTCGTGTGGGAGACTCGAGGATACTATTGTCTGAAGTCTTTGAAAGAAAAGCAGATTATTTTATGCTCACCACATTTTCCGAAAAAAACTTTAGCTTAATTGCATCAAGAAAAGAAAAAAATACAAGAAATACTGTGAAAATCACGTTTTCGTTTGGAAACTATAACATTTTTACGTTTTTATCGTGCTGCTTACCTGAGACGCGGACCAAGGACCAGATTCTGCGGACCAAGGTCCTTCGAAAACGGTCGCCTTTTTGCGAATTCCAAGCAAAATATTTATGTCTGGAACTTGAAACTTCAGGATTATAGACAGGAACATAAAAGCTATCTTCAGGGAGTATTTCAGCTCGTTACGTGAAGATTCGGGTAAGATGTTCAAGTTAATGACTTTTACACGCGGACCAAGGACCACATACTGTATAGGTGATTTTGGAAATTCTTTGAACGGTTTTGCTAAAAGCCCACGCGTGCTTCGTAAGGTTCTGAATATTGAATGAGTGCAATTTGTCTTGAAAAATTGAGAAATACTGCATTTTGTCTGAGGTCTGTATGATAAAAACAGCGCCTCTTATTACTGTTTCACCTCAGATGTGATGTATAAAAAGTATGAAATGCACCCAGAGTTGTTGGCAAGATTTTATTAAGTAAACTTGTCGAACGAAAAAATTCGGCCTGATTTGTTTTCCAAGAATTCGTTTTCCAGGCCTAATCTACTGTAATCAAGAGCCATTATGGCTCTTAAATGTGATCGAAGATAATTGCTATTTTTTGGTTGTATATATACGGCCATCAATTCGATGTTAGATTTTTTTTCACTCTAAAATCACTTGGCCTTAGCGTTTCCCTTTAAAGTCACATATGTGCCCTTAAGTTAACTGATTTGTCGATTACAAGTTTATTGTTTGATTTAAATTACAAATTTATCAATGGGAGCTTCGCTTTTAGCCCTGGCTAAATCTATATATTATGTTATACAAGTAATAAAAAGCATTGGAACAAGTGTTATTTTCATGAGAATTCATTGAAAGAGTCGAGTCTAACCATGTCCCTAAGTTTTTAACTACCCCTTTTTGGTCTAATTACACAGTCTCCAATTAAAATATGATCAATATTAACTTTGGCTAGTTGTTGCTTGGTACCAATCATTAGGAATTCTGTTTTATCGTCATTGAGAAGTAGTTTATCATTGGTCATCCAATTACGTATATCATCCACACAGTGCTGTGTAGCACTGACTGCCTCAAATTGCCCGGTGCTTATGACAACAGGTCAAAGGGATTTTGCCTCTAAGCCAGTGAATTTGCCGGACATCGATCACGTGATATTTCGCCAGTACAAGCATGCGCTTTAAAGAGAAGAGGGCTATTCGACGACGAAGCAAACACCCAGGCCATTTTATAACCCGTCTCTTCCTGAAAAGAAGGCCGGGTAATAATAATTCTTTCTTCCACGAACTAAATTAAAGAATAAATCAAAGAACTCGAAGTGATCTCGAGATATCCCGAACTAGTTGGGCTCTTACTTCGTCAAATAACTGATAAAGACCGAACACCCACGGACTTTGCATACTCAATCTTGTCCCAAAAAGGCACCTTTGAAACATTCCTGATCGTCGCGCATCCTTTACTTCGCGCTCCCCCGAAGTAACAAGCCATCTTGATTACCCCATTTGGGCGACGCCCAAATAATAATTGACGATGCAGTTTATTAGCGCGATTTAATTCAATGCATCTTAATTTACGACGATGTTAATTTAAATCACACTATTTTACACCGTTGTTTTCCAGCAACTTTATTTCAATAACAAACCTCTTCTGCTCATAGTTCCGCTATCAACGCCTTGGTGTCGCTATCTGACAGTTCATCTTTAAGGCTTGAGTTCAAAATGTCTTTCGACTGGTCTTTGTATTGATCCGTTTGAGTGGGAGTACACCGACATTGCATGCAAATGTCTTCTATTCTCAACACCTTTCCATTCCGATATTTTTCCAGACCCTCTCTCTCTCCTTAGAATCAAATTAAAAAAGCCTTCCTGTGGGTAACCAGTGCGGATGTCGCTTTCGTCGCGCCTTCTCCTTCTCGTCAGCTTTTTAACAAAATTGTCGCTTGCATCTCAAGAACATTTTTCTGCATGGTAGCTAGCCTTAACCACGACGACGATGCAATAGGTTTAATAAGCAAATCAAACCATCGTAATGTAAATAGCACTTCTGTCCAACTTTGGCGTAGATTTTGTCATCGAGCAACTAGCCTGGTCATCCTTGGTTACAAGAATTGCAATGGCAAAGGGATCGTCGCTCTGATCTCTCAGATCATCGTATCATCTATAGCGTTCGTCGCAACTTCGATTTCGTCGGAAATACCAATGGAAAGCGTCCTTAGTCATTTTCTAAATCATAATTTAAGTTAACAGATTTCACGACCAACATTGCCGAGAATGTATCCGAAACGATCAGGCATGTTTTTTTTTCTCAATGATACAGTACGGGCCCGTTTATATGGAGGTGGGACACCCCAGATAGGTGAGGTGACGTGCGGCAAGTCACCCCACTTATCGTGTAAACGTGATCAATTAAAAAAAAGAGATTGTATGGACAGGCTGGTTAACCCACCTAAGCAGGTTACCTCACCTACCTGGCCCCCCCCCCATGTAAACAGGCCCTAAAAGTGCTAAATCACCCCAGGTCTCAGTATGACTGAAGTGTCTCCTCTCGTTGCGGTTTATCATCAATGTATAATGGTTTCAGAAGTCTTACTAGCTAGCGAATAATATTTATCTTAATAAACCTCTAGATACTACAAAAAATATAAAACTTCCGTTTTTACGTTGGTTTACCTGCGAAATAAACCTTCCTAAAAGGATTAGTTGAAGGACGAAGGGTTGACTGCGCGGCAGATAGATCATAAGGCCTTGGGCGAAACTTTTCAAGATAAGAATTCGACTGACTGTCTGTGATATCAGTCGTTGTAAGGATATAACTATAATTTGGAACTCCATGATTCAGCTACACTGAGGGTGCATTCTTATTCTGGTATAGGAAATTCCTTCAGTTGACTAGACTTACCCACAAGTCGAGCTTAAACTTTTTCTCGAGCGCGAAGCGCGAGCTAGAAATATTTTAGGTTTTCGGCGGCAAAGCGAGCGAGAGAACGGGCGAACTGGAAATGGGAATCAAAGGACTTTGAGAAAGTCTATCTATTGACCTGCTAATCCAATGTCGAAATACGCTCAAGATATTCCAAACATTCTGCTACAACGAACAGAATGCGTGGCTGAATAAAACGGAATGATAACGTCACTTTTCTCGCCATTCGTTTGGTTTTCAAGACAAAAAAGAACAAGGCGGACGCGGTAGGTAACAATAATCGACATTAAATTAAGAGAAACGAAGCACTCCGTCGCAGAAAGGCTACCATTAGAGCAGAGAACTGGAATGTTTTTGGGCATATTTCCATACACAAAGAAAGCGATAAGGATATTGAAGTCTCTCCACGCCGGTCATATAATGTAATTCTCCAAAACACAAGGTAAAATATTTTCCATACGTCAATTTCCCTCGGTGTAATTTTCCCCTTTTCACGTGCCGCAGCGATATCTTTGTTGACGCCGTGTTTGTTATCCTGATCAGTAAATCAGCATTCTGAAAACAGAAAAAATAGGTGTATTTTGGGGGTAGAGACTAATCCAGACTAATTCAGAATGCATTCCTATTCCAGAATACTGCCAATTGAACGCACCCAAAGTAAGCTACGCTTTAAACGCTTGTCACAAGACGAATTTACGTTTTCCATCAACCCATCCGTTCCGCTTACCTACAATGATAAGGTCTGTTCTCTATATACAAAAAATATATATTTTTAAAAATTAATTAACATCTCTTGTATCTAATATAAACACAAATCACAATGCTTTAAATCTTGACAAACTGCCTCCATAATGTTTTAAGGACGAACCCCTTCGCCCTGACAGACAACATCAAAATCTTATCACCTTATGAATATCATTGTTATTACTAAGAGGATCTGAGTACTATCATTACGAAAGCAGTCCCTTGCTCTCCCCGGAGTTGAACCAGGTTAAAGTACCTATTGTAGCAGTGGCATTGGTCCCCGGCCGGCCGAGGATACTACTACTTTGTAGACTTCACGGTTCTCCCTGTAATATATCTCTCTTTATTATACATTCAAAATATTTCGCCTTTTCTGATTGGCTCAAATCCCCCGCCTAATTCTTCATAGGTAGCTGGCCTTGACCCAATTTGGAACATGCCAGCAAAATACCATCGATTCGATGGTATTTTGCCCACGAAGCCTCGTTCCCAGGCGCGGGCTTGCGTTTAATTCCTGAGTGAGCTAAAAGACGGCGTTTTCACGGTTATCCTAAGACGAAACAGCTGAATTTCGGACTAAAACTAAACGGAAGAAATTCAAGAATACACAAAAAGTGTTGCTCGATGAATGTTATCTACTTTTTGGAGAGTATCTACAAGAAAAAAAAATCTCTTTTTAGTATTTACCAAATCAGTGAATATCAATTTTCGCGCGTTTTTATTGGCTCCCGTAACTCGGAATATCCTTGGCTATTCACTCTTTTGCGATCGGAGCCAAGATGGCAGAGTTTTGAAGAAAGTCTACGAGGTGATAAGCTGGTTAATATTTTGAGAGAATAGTTAAAGAAATAATGAATTCGGGTTTCGTATTATGTGAAGAATTATGTAGATCTTGAAGGCTGTTTTCCTCGATTTGTATAATTCCTCTCATCATACTCATTCAGTAACTGTTAAATAGCATATGCATTAAGATCAGACGAGGTAGAGATTGATGACACGATGATATTATGATCAAGGTCTTCAAGGGCTCGAGCAGAGCAACCGACTTCTGTACTTCTTAAACACTTGTAAGATACTCGACAATTTCAAGGGGTCCACCATTCTGTACACGACCAGCTGTGAGAAAAAAGGAATATCACCATAAAAATTCAAGAAAGCATCATGTTTAGTTTTACACTAGGGTGGTTTGTGTAGTGGATAATCCTGAATACAAACTACCAGGTACAGGTTAAGACCTTACTCCTTACAGTGGTGTTAAAGAGAGTTAAAACTACTGCTTCAAAAAAATTTCGTAAGTGTAGGTTTTCCACGTGAAAGATGAATATATGTCCAGAACTGGAACATTCACTGCTAATAAAACACTTTAAATCAGCTTAAAATAATTTCAGGCAAGGGAATCTATTCTTTCCATCAACCACAATGTCAATGGAATTTGTTGGAGGTCCCACCTCCTTTCTTCACTGCCTCTCCCGATCCACTCATGTTACATTTTCCTCCACATTTTACCATGCAAATTTTAACCAGAATCAGTTGACCATAATTATTCATTAACGCAACACAAAGGACTGTTCTTAGGACGTTGAAACGTTCAGTAATGCACATTACAAGGACTAACTCCTCACAACTGTTTTGCAACAAAAGCCCAAACTAACCTAACACCCAGATTTCTTTCAGCCTTCAGAGTAACATGCACCTAGGACATCAAACAAGTTAGCACGTACGATGTTAAACTACAGGTAAGTGGCAGTGGTTTTATGTTATGTTATGCGGTAGAAACAAAAAAAACCTTAAAAGCTATGGCAACTGCCCACAGGCTCAGGATTATAAAAAAAAAATCGAGAAGCACTAGCATATACAATACAAAGTACAAACCAACTAGACAATCACTGCACTGAGACTAGAGAAAATTAATTTCATTTAAAATTTATATTAAAAGCTACAATTATTATAAATTTTTAAAGGTATGTTACATGTAAGGCTCAAAGCCCAGGAATTACAAAAAGCAACCAGAAATTAATTATTATGTGCAATACTCTTGTTAGACATAATGGATAAGAAAGCGTATTTGAGACAGAGCAATAGCAGGGTAAATAGATAGTTATTGACGCAGTCTATGATGTAAATAATGCTCTTAGTTAAGTGAGTGAGAAGGTTAGGTCGCGGCAGACCAATATTATTAAAGGTTGGCCATACTTCTCATCAAATAAAACAATTACAAACCTTGATTTACGGTATCTCCAGAAGAATTCATCTTGAAAAATAAGAATATAGGCTGAGAAGTAAAAAAAAAGAAAAGATGTGGAAACAAACTGTGTCAGCTAAATTTAATAATTACCCTGCAGGGTTCGTACTCTTTTGAGCTCTTCCATGACCCTTTTAAAGTTTTCCGAGACCTTAGGCTAAGCTGTCACTTTCAAAAATTTTAAAAACTTTCCTTGTTTTACGGTATTTTTGGACCTTAAAAAAGAGTTTAACAGACACAAACTCTAGTGCCCACCAAAATGCGTACCGTTTACGTTGTTTAATTACTCCTCTTTACCTTACATTGCCCTTGTCTTGTCACTTGAAGTAACTAATCTATCAAACAGAACTTTAATTTTCAATGACTTTTCAGGCCTAGAAAATGAACTGCTTAAATTCCATGGCTTTCCACGTTTTCCATGACCTGTACGAACTCTGTTACCGCCAACCTCGTTAGCGAGAGAAAGAGAGAGAGAGGGTGCGAGAGAGAACCTGGGAACGAGATGTGTTACCGCTCAATTCAAGTAATGTAAACAAAATCAGACTTTTGGTAGCGTACATGTCTTCTGACGGGCTTTAACTAGCCATCGGCAAAATACACTAACTGAAATATAGCTGATAGTCACTAGATTTTAAGTAACCATTCAGATAGCGATAGGTTTTGTAAATTTAGTTCTAATAGCATAACTCCTCGGGTATGCACGCAGTTTATAGTATAAGCAAGCGGAGTTCAGAAGCGAGATTGTAAGCATAGTGCAGATTTCCCATCCCGCCACTCCGACGGACAGTCTTCTGGTCTTTCTGTTGTTTGTATTCTGTTATGTTATTTGACTGTAGTTTTAAGTATTTGTGTTAATCAGTTATCTCGGGTGTATTTACTTGCGTTTAAGTGTTCTTACTGTAATAAAGACTGTCAGATCCCAAAACGTGTGCGTGGTGGTTTAGCTGCAACTGATTCAGATTATTTGAAATGTCATGCTTTACTCGCAGCACTTCACTTTCCACTGGAAACTACTAGTTTCTTAAAAGTAAATGCAATTGTTGCGATTCTATAAAGAGACTAACTTTAAAGATGCAACCTGATGTGCACTGCATTGGGATTTTTTCTGTTTGGTCGGCTTGACCCTTATTCTAAATCTTATTTACCTTGTGGTCACCCATGCAGGTTTGTTTTCCTATCATGTCATACACCACTGGAAGGCTTTTCCTCTGCAGTTTAAGATAAACACAAATAATGCTGTATGATGCCAATGCAAGACTCGTTATCGTACATCAAAATAATCTGGCAACAACGTGTGTATGTGACTGATAAAACAAACATTCTGAATCTACGCAGGTTAAACATTCTGAAGTAATTTTACGTATTATAATAATACTGCGCCCCAGGCTATGTTGATAAGTTGGGGCAAAACTGCAGTAAAGTCATTGATAACAAGAACATCAGCAGTGAAACAAAATGTTGTGCACCAGTGGAACTAAACTGTGTTACGTTGCACCAAAGCGAGTCTTCAGCCCTCCAACCTTGCCCCACCTTACCAATACCGTCAGTCAAGAACATGCGCACCTCTCGTATGACAATTGGTTTAATGTGACAATAGTTATAACTGTGCACAGAGACCAACCTCCACTATCAGTGCTTTCCAACAATGACTCAAGAAGATTCTGTCACACCATGATGGACATCTAAATTATTGTTGAAAAAGAATTTCTGAAATTAGTACTATGCTGATAATAATGCATGAATACCAAATGAACATAATACTGTACAGCTGACTCTGGGATGTCAGTTGTACTTTACCGTAAGGCTCAACTCGGCATCCCACTGAGTGACTATTAAGGGAAACGCCATAGGAAGTAGAACAATAATGTCATTGGTAGAACCACTGGTTATACAATAAAAATGTTACGTACAATGCTAGGTTAAAAAAGAGAAAAGAAGGAAAAGAAACAACGAATCAGTAAACTGCATTTTTTGGTACCTTGAATCCCCATAAACAGTTGTTTCTTTAACATTTTCACTGAAGGGATAACTGAAAAAAAATACCGCTATAAATATCACATCATTTAGTTGACTGTAACCATTTTTTTTAACAATAACATAAATTTCCTCTTTCCTTGATGCACATGTAGGCAAAGGCTGTTTCTCAATGATGAGAAATTTGACATTTAATGTGGTTGGAAAGCTGACTATGATTGATGGACAGTAAATTATTAAGAATATAAACTGTAAGTTTGAAAATAGAATACGTTGATTATAAGGGCCTACAGTTATCTGACTGATTGATATGAAATTGCTGAAATACACATGCACAGAAACACTGCAGTCTTTACCAAACAACACAATTTGTACCTGGGAATAAATGAAATGTTATATTCAAACAATCTGTCCTGGAAGGCATCAAACTCTCTGTTGTATTTTGAAAACTTCTTTCCATTATGATATCGAAAGATACTCTCATCGTGAAACTTGAAAATTCTAGGTTCTAGTGTAAGAAAAACCTGAAAAATTAAGAACACATGCAGTTCACCTTTAAGATGTCATTAATAAACATATCAATCTTAAGCTCTACAGGTAAAATTAATACGTAAGGATGGAAAAGAGTAAAACGTTTCTCTGTTGTTGTTTTATCTAGAGCTATTTATTGTGGAACAAGTAGCACAAACTGCAGTACATACCTTGTCAGCCTTTTTTCTGTCTCTAAAGATTATCTTTGATGTACTACTCTCACCATCTTTTCTGATGTGCTGTTGTGGTAGCCCAGCACAGAGAGACTACAAAATAAAAAAGCACAGGAAAAACATTAAAACACTTCAACCAGCTCTACTGCAAACATGGTAAAGAATAAAGAATTCCTTACAGTTTAGAAAAGCAAAATTATTTAAGAATTGAATATCTTCACTGTAGAGACAGTGCAAAATGACTCGTTAAATTATTATGAATGTTTATTTATTTATTTACATGTATTTATTAATTTATACAGGAACATCTGTTATGGCATGGCTAATTTAAACAGAGTCCAATTAAAACAACATACAAAAAATTCAAAGAGAATCAATATACAGAGATAGTAAACTTCTTGATATTCATTCTGCAAATGTAAGGGTGATAATTAGAGGATTCTCTTCTCATCAGAGAATCCCCTTTTTACTCAGGGATTATCCACGAATATTGTGGGGAATCTGTATGCAAATTTGTCACTCACTCGAAACCGGAAGTTCCATGTAATTAGCCATTTAGGATGGATAATATTTCAAGCAATCACAACACAGCTGCCACTTAGAAAGCTGTGACACGCATGGCTTGCTTAACTTTTCTCTAAACATGACTCCCAATCTCATGATTTTTTAGGAAATAACATTCTGAAAT